TGAGAGGGACAGAGAGAGTGAAAGAGACAGGGAAAAGGAAAGTGAGAAATCCCTCCCACGAGGTGTGGGGGGTGGTGGCCATGCTACAAGCCCTTCTCTATCCTCCTTGGGATTTTGGGCATGCACGCACATACACCCGACGTGATTCTCAAGCCGTGGGGCTGGGACTCAAACTGTGATTAGCCCTGTGGGAGTCCAGCGCCTTAATCACCCGTCACCTGCTGGCCCCTAAACCCGTGTTTATAAATCACCCAGGCTGTCACCAATGGAGCAGACTAGAGCACACAGGATTTCATTATGTTCATCGCCCCTCTCCCTCCCAGCCCACACTTCAACCCACAATATCAACAACACGAGGGCAGGTGGTCTGTGTCCCGTGTTAGGCCTGGCACTTCCGGTTCCTACCTGCTCCAGCTTCCCCTGGCTGCCAGGCCCTCAGGCCCATTCTCCATACAGCTCCAGAGGGGTCTCTCTAACCCAGGGCTGACCCTGCCCTCCCCCAGCTTGCACCTCTCCTGTAGCTCCCCCAGCACCCTCAACGTAGTCTCAAGTCCCCCTAACATTTCAGATGAACCCCACCCTGGGCATAGCTGCCACTCGACGTCCCCTGGATCACTATGTCCTAACCTGGCTGCTTGGCCACCTGGATGTGGGGCTGGACCCCAGGCATTGTCCCCCAATCGCCCTCCTCTCCATGCCCCCTCCACTGTACTTCCCAGCCTCTAGCAGTCATTCCTCAGCTCTGCCTCTACAAGACCACTGTTCCCGTCTCCACGTGTATGAGAGATCACGTGGTATTTCTCTTTCTGTGCCTGGATCATCTCACTTAACACAATGTCCTCCTGGTTCCGACCTCAAAGGATAGCATTTCTTCCTTTTTAATGGCTGACTAGTATTCTGGCGTGTGCGTGTGTGTGTGTGTATACAGACACACACATTTTCCTTATCACTTGTCTCATGATGGACACTTGGATCGGTTCTCTATCTTGGTACTGTGAACAGTGCTATAATAAACACGAGGTATTGGGGGCCAGCATGGGGCATGGTGGTTGATGCACTGGACTCCCACATGAATGACCACAATTCAAGTCCTGGATCTGGAAGCTTGCTTTCTCACGTTCCCTCTCTCTCTCTCCTCTCTCTATCTCTGGTGATTTAAAAAGGAATGAATGAATAAATAAACAAATAAGTAAAATTAAACAAATCATTCCTTTAAAAAAAATGGGGCTGTGGGCCAGCAGATGGTGTGGTGGTTAAGGCAGTGGGCAATGGCCGACCACGGTTTAAGTGCTGGGCCTGGTGATTTGTTTTCTCACTTTCTCTCTCTCTCTGTGTCTTTCTCTGGTCAAATTTTAAAAGTGAATAAATAAAATTTTAAAAATAAACATGTGGTACTGATATCTTCATGGCATACTGATTTCCCTTCCTTTGGATATATGCTTAGGAGTGGGACTGCTGGAGCATACGGCAGGCCTACTGTTAGTTTTTCAAGGTACTTCTATATTGTTTTCCATAACTGCAGTACAAATTTATGTTCCCACTTACAGGGTAAGAGTTTT